ATATGGCGATGATCAGACTTCTTCCCATGTAGGCTGATGAGGCTGAGCATGGGACCTGATGGACGTGTGTCTACCACACCTCCTGCCAGCCGGCCTTTTTGCTGTCCATGATGTGGACGAGCGCCACGATGAAGCGAAAGTAGAGAAAGCGCGGGCTGACCGGCTATCGTTGAGGTATTTCACCTCCCTGCTATAGAGTAACCACTTCTTATCCCAGCTGGTTGTATTTGCGAGAAACATCCTACATCCAATGGAAGTGCTGACATGTCTCCAAAGCAGTTGGCGCGACTTGCGCAACTGTGAAGTTGCCTGACGAAGCCCAATCTTGATTGGCAGGACCAGAAGAAGTCTAAGACCATAGCCAGTATCTCTGCCATTTTCTTGCTATTCTGTTCGGAGTGACCATTAAAGTTGGCTTGTACAGGTGCTTGGTAGTCGGCATGAATCTGCTACCGCCAGCTGGGTGAACTCGCGAACGCCATCACGTTTCCTCAAGTCATCACGTTCCGATTGATCCGTCACTTCATGTGACGCATTGATGTGCTGAATGGTAGGGGCCTTTCAAAGATCCGTTATCTTTCAACGCCTTCTAGGCAAACGCACTGTTACGGCCTCAATGTCTCTGACTTAGATCATTAGTGTGGATACAACATCAAATTAGTCTCCTGAGCACTTCAAAGCGACATATCAGTCGTCGTCAGTCTTTTCAATATCTTTTCTATTATCACATCATCGTGAGTTCGTTGGTAGTAATCGCAGTACCAGCGTAGCGCAACAGGATACCGTCTGGGCCGATGTGAGCAAGACGGACCTTCCTAAGTACGTGCAAGCCAACATAGGTCTTCAAGTATCACTCAGACGAGGGCTTCAGCAGGGTGAGGGAGCTAAACAGCCTCCTCTGAAACTGCGATGATATCAAAACTCGCATATTTCGCCGCTGTCGTACCCTTCAGCCCGGAAAGACACTCACGCCCTTTGGCTTGGGAATTAAAACATGATAGATATTGGGTCACAGGACAAGGTATACCTGTCAGATCGCGAGGTAATCCAGTCCACTTAGTATACTCATTGACATCACGCGCATTCATACTTGAAACGGTAGTTTCCTTCAACTCTCGCTGGATTCGGATTGTGGGTACTAGATAATAAGGAGGGACATGAATTGAACTAAGCAGAAGGCTCCTCCCTTGGGATACAAATGATATAAAAATCGTGATAACATCCAATCCGGACACCAGCGAGCCCTGTTCAGCTTTCACAGGCAGAAAAAAAAAGCCAAGACATTCGTCTCTTGAGAAAGACAGGAATATGAAAATTGCAAACGCCGGACACAACGAAATTTTGTCCACGACCACACAGGTGCAAAAAGGTATCAGGTAAAAAAGTGTATGCACAATGTCGGTAAATCGTCCTCCCCATCGGCAAAGAGAGAGGAAGTAATTTCTCTTTAGCCGCTTGTTACTCCAAATGGAGTAAATCAAAACCGCCAAACATAGTTCTTCAGCGGGTACCGCCAAGAGCGCTGATGCGTGCTCCAGACGGACGGTGGATCAGGCTGTCGGTGTGCTTACCGACGGTCTGCTGAGGCATCGTCTCGGACTCGCTGCGATCCTCCTCGAAGTCCTCATCATCCTCAACAATCTTTGTAGGGATGTCCTGATGGATCATATACTGCTGACTTGAGCGCTCGGGAGTTGCAGCGCTGGAAGCGAAGGACATCGCTGTGCTACTCCGATTGGGGACCAGGTCCGGGGTGGGGGGGATGCTGGATATCCGACCAGAAGCAGGGTGAAGGAGGCTATCTTCGCCCATGTCAGATGTTGCGTTTGACTGAGTCTCGTGACCGTCATCGCTGTGGGTGGCGGAGAGGTTGCTGCGACGGCGCTGGGCGCGAAGGCGGGCCGCGCTAGCAGAGCGCTCATCAAAGTCGGCGTCTTGGGCCAACTGCAGGCCCTCAACGGCAGCCTGGCATTGCTCGGCAATGTTTCTAATAATGTGCGCGATGGCATCAGTCTTGTCCTTGAGGTGGCGGTCGGCCACATCCTTGAAGCTCGAAGTGGAGAGCCTCTTGTTCGCCTCAGCGGCGGCAGAGAGGAGGCGGGCCTGGTTGACGTCGGCTTCTCTGGGAGTGATGCCATCCTCACCCATCTCTGGCTCGAAGCCTTCCTCGATTTCGTGCGCCAAGTCATCGGGCTTGGTCAAAGATTGAACCAGATGCTCCATGTGATGGCTCTGGCCGCCAATCAAGCTGCGCAGATGCAGCACAACACGGCGAGCCTCATCACGCTGTCTGAGGATGGTGACGTTGGTGTGCTGAAGAGCAGCAAGCTCCTTCTTGTTCCGCTTACGCTCGCGCTCGAGTTCCTCGGCGATCTCCTGTTGGAGGACCAATGCTTCGAGAGCGTCATCACGCTGCTTCTCAGTAGCACCGAGACGGACATTGAGACGACCGTTGTCATCCTTCTGCTGATCAATGAGGCCTGCAAGGCGTCTGTTCTCCCTCTTGTGAGTTTCGATCTTGGCCTTGAGATCCTGGGTCTCCTTGGTGAGCTGTTCAGCAAATGCCTGGAACTTAAGGAACTGCTGCTTCCAGCTCTCCAGCTCCTCGTTGAGATAGTTGTTGCGTTTTGTGACCTTGTTGAGCTCGGTATCCATGCGGCCCTTCAGGTTGATGAAGTCCTGCCAAGCCTCGAGAGCATCACGGGAGTACTGGTTTCTCTCGCGGACAATCTCGTTGAGGTGTCTCATCGAGACCTTGGTCATCAAGGGCTTCTTGACGGAGCCACCAAAGACAGCCTTGATGCCCGTGTTGCGGCCCATCTTCTCGCAGACATGATCCATGACGGCCATAACAGTATCCTGGTTCCACCATTCGGGATCTTGGATGGACTCGACTTCTCCACGCATAACAATGATCTGGCCGGCGGGGACGAGCTTGCCGCCACCGTAAGCGGAGCGGAGATGAGGGGGAACGCCGGAGGGAGTCACATCTCCGTTGAGAGACTGTGTCAGGCGGGTGACGAACTTGTTACGCTGGCTGGGGTTGAGTGCGGTCGGGGGGCTGGAAGTGAGAACGAAGTTGCGGTCGAGGTCAACAACCAGAGCATCCGTTGGCGCGGTGAACAAGGAGCGGCACTCGGCCGTGACACCGAGGATATATGGACCGGGCTCCTGAACTAAATCCTTGGCATGGCGAGCATGCACAACTGGGACATAGAGGCCACTCCATTCGTAGACGCGAACGCAGTATCTGACAGTCTCTGCAGCCATGGTGAGCATGGCCGGGTAGTGACTGACAAAGATGATGCGACGAGTTGGTGAAATGGCGGCCTCAACGACACCCACAATGTTGGGGATGGACAAGCAGCAGAACAGTGGCCACATGGCGAAGTTCTGGAAGCCAGTAGGCGACGAGGGGAATTGATAGCAAAGAGCATAATCTTTCATGTCAATTCGAACCAAGTCGTTGAGTCTCGGAGCTGGAAAGCTGAGAATGCGCGAGACCTCCTCGGCGTGGAACAAGTTAGTAGCCTTGTTCCAGTGGATCCACATGCCTCGCAAGTAGTCTCCAAGAAGGTTGTACAGCGGGTACCGAGACAGGAATGACAAGCAGTAGGGAATCCAGTAAGTCTCATCGGGGTTGTCGTAATAGTCTGGTTCAGTTCTTTTACGCAGATCCCGAATTGTCTCGGCCCTCTTCTCGTCGGCTCGCGACCATACGCGAAGACAGATTCCATACAAGGTGTGGGACGAGTCTTGCTGCAGAACGAAGGCATGGTGGACGCAGTGAGGCTGGCTGCGGCCAGTGCAGATCTCAACGTCGTGGGGAAAGCAAGCCTGTAAAATGTCAGCCACTCAAACTCTAGACAAAACTTATGGCAAACAGCCACTAACCCGCATGGCAGCGTGCAACGATCTGGCGATCTCGTTGTCTTGCTCCAACCTCGGGCTGCTTCCAAGAATCTCGGGCAGCCAGAATTGACCAACAGCGCCCTTCATGTGGCCAATCTTGCCCTGTGCAGGGGCTGGGGCCTTGACCCATTGCGAAGGTTCTCTGCCAACACCGCATACCATGTAGGCGTGAGTAAGCGTCTTTGGGGTGCGCTGCTGGGGCTTCGCATTCAGGGTCGAGGGAATCGGCTGGGTGATGCGCGAGTGAAGGGAGGAAGTACGGCTCGGGATAATGAGGTTGTTGTCTCCCTGATCACGGGTGGTAGGTCGACCATCGCGGTCGCCGGTCCGGGGCCGGGTGAAGGACGAGTGTGCGTTCAGCGAAGGCGCCATTTCGTCGATTATTAGTCGTCGTTAAGAAAGAAAAGTTATCTTGAAGTTATATAGGTGGACGTGAGAGCGAAGGAGAAGGTGACGAGGTGGTTGATGATCCGGGCCACACACGAGCTGACCAGCGTGTCGAAGGAAAAGGGCCTGGCTTGATTGGATGAATCAAAAGACGGCAAGGAAGCTATCCAGAGAGCAAGCTCTCGTCAAGGAGTCGTCGGTCGAAGGAGTTGCTCAAAAAGGCGCCATTCGAAGGAGCCTCAAGGAGCAACTTGAATTGTCTGGTCTGGTTGAGCGAAAGTTGAGGCTCTAGCACAGACTGCTTGGTTGACTGACTGACTGACTGCTCGGTGACAGGTGGGGAGAGAAGAAACAAGAAAGGAGAGAGGGAGGAAGGGAAAGAAATCGGAGACGAGGCAAGAAGAGGCAGTTCCAGCTGAGGTAAAAGGGGAGAGTGGTGTCCAGGGGGGGTGTTTGAATAGGAGGACGGGGAGGGGGGAGAAGTGAGGGCGAAGGAGAGGGTGTGTGGGAGAAACAAGAGGCAGATGGCGAGAAAACGAGGGTGTGCCACTGGCGGGCGAGCTAAGATGAAGCGAAAGGGGGACCAAGCACCCGACGCGAAGCTGGAAAGGGAAGTGTACGGTCGAGCAGCAGCAGCAGCAGCAGCAGTACGGAGTGCCCACCTTTAGTGTAAAGGCAGGCACAGGCACAGGCACGGCAGGTCAGAGGACAAACTGTGTGGCCGTGTGTGCGTACGGCGGGGAGCAGGCAGAGAAGAGATGGGCAGAGACAGGGGCGAGGACAGAAACACGGGCGGGCAGGCCAAGAGATGTAGCAGCGACTTTCCATTGAGAGCAGCAGGCCGGGGGACGGGGAATTAAGGTCTGCAGCCAACGTGCAGCAGCGTACGCAGTAGTCAGGTTCCTGGATGCAGGTTCCAATGATGTACCTTGGCCGGTATTCTTAGCGCATCTCAAGGCAGGACAGCGTGGGCAGATACCTTGCCATGCCGAGTCCTTGGGGAGCTCACTACAACCAACCGCAGAATTTGACGAGTACTCCGTATCCATACGGATAGGTACCTTAGCTTACAGTAGAAACCACGGGGCCCCAACTCAGCAAGGATACCTAAGGGAGCAGTGATAATAGTGCTAGCCTGAGTGAGTTGCCTGCCAGGACATGAAGCCACAACTACCTTGGGTACCTTACTGTGTAGAAGGGGTGATCAGGGAGCACTGTGAGGGGAGAGAAGCACGGAGAAGAGCCGTTCGCAGGTACAGGCGGGACACAGATGGGGCAGAGGACGGGTGTGCAAGGGGGCATGCAGCGCAGTGTTGCGGTGCCACTGTTCGACAGGGGACAAGGTGAGGTGGGGTTTAGGAACACGCGGACAGGGGTCACACCATTTGCTCAACTTTCATGGAAGGAAGGCTCCAACTTGATATCTGCAAGGTACAGACCAAGTACCGCCCAATATACATTCTGAGGGCTGTTACTGCTGACGTTGGGAACAAGAGGGGCATTGTGATGGGCACGCCAACCACGCGCCAGATGGAGACGGCAGCTTCACGGGTCGTCAAATTGAAGTTGCTCCATGGCGGCGTGGCTCTGGCAATGGGGACTGTTCCGGGGGTTTGACTCTTGCAGTTGCTGCTGTTACATTTCGGGCTGGAGGCGGGCATGGCATGATACTCTTCCATACGGCACCTTGGGCTCCTGGTGTTTGGAATTGGACAGCGCTACCTGGCTCGCCTCGCTCACTCGCACTCGCACTATTCGTGACCCAAGGTACAGACAGATACGCAGGACGGCTACGGATACAGGATTGTATCGAGGTCGGTAGAGGATGACAAGTGAAGTCGATACTTGCCCAAGCTAAGGGCCAGTTCAAAAATCCAGACAATAAGAGGACCCTGACGTGGAAAACCGTTTCTCTCTCTTTCTCTACTATGTATTTTCCTTTGTGTACTGAGTGAGACATTACTCCGTACCAGCTCCGCTATGCGCCGCAACGAGGAAACGAACCAGTCCAGTCGATCGACAAAAGCCAAGCAAGTCCAGTTAGAGCTTCCAATAGCTTATTCGGCTTCCAAATCCCGATTCTCACTGAAAGCGTGACATTAACCTCGATATGAAAGTGGCAAACGCGACACATGGTAGCTGGAACAGGGGAAAGCAAGACGAACTCATCCCATCAGTACTTACCAACCAAGCCCCAAAAGAGCCAAGCGTGATTCGGGCATCTCAGACAGAAGAACCGTTGGAACGAGCGGTTAAAGGAAGACAATAAAAGACAAAACGAAACAAAGCCGCTTCGGGCAATTTGCTATCTATTGGGGCGCTACTTACTTTTGTTACTTTTGTAAATAGCAGCAACAGCAGCAAAGAACCCCGAATTCCAAACTACTGCAATTCGTGCAGTAAGTAAGCCCCTCAAAACGATCCGATGGTCGGTCGAATCAGTCGCTTCACAAGTTCAGCCCAATCGGCAGAAGCAAAGAGCTAATTTTTATTTTATTTTTTTCCATTTCCATCTGACACTCGACACCGGCCAGAGAGCCGTCGAGTCGTGTCTTTGTTCTCTGCCGTTCCCGTTGGCTCCGGGGATTGCAAGCCGTCAAGCCTCTCAACAGAAGCTGCAGTTGTAGCGGCGACCTAGACTCCTTGACTCCTCAGAGATTCAAGTCGACTCGTGGGAGCCCGCGAAGATGTGAGGAGCTAGCGTGCACTTGTGAAATACTAGCGTCATGCGGCGCCGCGTTAGCGGCTTCAATCTCTTTCCCTCGTTTTTCTCCCTTCTTTCCCTTCCATCCTTTGGTGTTCGTTCGCCCCAATCCCCTCGATGACTGATGAGTCGTGGCCAAAGGTACTTTAATCATTCTCTTTTTGACAGTCTTCTTCTGCTGTACTCCGTACGTACAGAGTAAGGCATATTCTCGTCAGGTCCCATCCATCACACGCACGGGCCTCTCCTTCCAAAGAAGAAGTGGATGAGGGAGAAACCCCCGGTCAAATCAAGAAAGACCCTTGCCAAAACCTGGACCTTCCTGGTCGTTCTCCTAATATTGGATCTCCACCTTTGGCTGGTGGAGACTGACGATTTACAGCCAATGACAGTCACAGCTGGCGTCGCTCAGTACCAACTGCTCTCGAAAGAAATTGGCAAGCCTCGTTTGGAAATTCTGTCGCCTCTTCCTCACCATAGTCCCACGGGATGATTGGCGACTACACCAGTTCCCTGGTTTATTGGGCCTAAAACGATGACAGCTACCTGCTTTGGGTCGCGATTGTCGTCCCCGGTCTGAAGCCTCTTTGTCAGTGCTGGCATCGTCTTACCGTCCGCCAAACCCTTCACGTCTCGCTCTTCTTGGGGCGGCGCCCACTTTCGCCCTCGTCTGTACTCCGGCGCGCCGCTCACAGATACTTTCTTTTCGCTTGACGAGCGAATGGGGTGTGTCGTACGGAGTACGTGGTGGACGGACCGGCGATACGGTATTTTTTTTTTGTGAATGGTAGGAACGCCTCAAAAGTTTGGACGGAATAGCACTCTGCTGATCCGCCTGTTCTTTGGCCAGGGAGATCATTAAACATCAGCTCGATACGATTATGCAATTCCACGCATAGCATGCTGGGCAGACCTTCCGACACGAAGGTCCATGTTACGGTGTTACCATGTGCCATGTCCTCCGACAACGAATCATGACTTTGACCCGTCTCCATACAGCACTTTCGATGGCACTCCAGCGCAAACGTAAATCACCGAGGGAAAAGGCATCCGAGCGGGGGTGAGAACCCAAGTTACCCAACGTGCGGCGTACATACCAACTTTCCACTGTTCCAGCCGTGCCAGCCATCCTGCAAAATAACGCGCACAAAATGCAACCCTCAAGGGGCCTTCTCCAGATGGATGACGAATTCAAGCTCAAGAAAGATCATCTGCCGAAGCGCTCAAGCCCCATCTCTGATCCCCCCAAGACACGCTCTCCTTGCACGGGTCGTCCCTGGAGTCTGGGACGGGATAACTCGACAGCTCCTGGTCGCTCCTCGGCTGGTTGGCTGAAGGGGTGTTCACGACCAACGAACCCAGATCGACGCACCTGCAGCACATCCCACACAAACAGAGGCTTGAGTGTTTGACGAGGGGACAGATCCGTATGGGTTGCTGCACTGTTGTGCCAGCCAGACGCGGCCCTTGATATAAGAATACTGACATTTTTCACTATCACTGTGTTAGCGATAGCTGTCGCACATACTCTAGCACAAGCGCTACGCCTGTCAGCCAGCTGCGAGCCATCGGGCCTTAGCAGGCGTATAGTGCGAGGAAACCATGGCGTCCACGCTAAACCCCGGGGGCCGAAGTGGGCGGTTTGCCGGGGCGGGGACTTGGTCTCATGGCACCAAGTCTCTGTTCAGTATCTTCCGCGACGCGATTCATCTGTGGCGGCTTCGCATTTTCTTCTATCAGGGGCCTCCTTGGTTCCGCGACGGAGAAAAAAGATCTCAAATCAAGTAGGCCGGGTTGCGGAACGACTGGAGGCTACGGGAAATGGGTCACGACAGAGGGCAGAAGAAGCAGAACACGCCGAAAGCCCCGCGACCCAGCCCGATGCTGCCTTGGTCTACGGATACATGAACGGCGATCTAATTACCTATGGCTTCCGCCTGGTGGAGGCAAAGCTGTTGGTGCTTGGCATGAGATTGTCAGTGCAGCCTGCAAAGTATCCATACACTCTGTCGCCGGACATCAACGAAGCGCCAGCCGCGCTAACGAATGGGCCTCAGCAACAAATGGCGTACAATCTTTGCGAAAGTGGGAGCTGCTCACTCTATTTAAACAAGGTGTTTGATGGACCGCAAGCACCCGTCGGGATCTCTCCAGAGAGACAAACTAAAAAGGACTAGTATGTACCAATTTACCAACTGCTGTCTGTTGGTGGTCGCGGTTTGCTTCCTCGAACCCACGGATGTATGCTTACTTATCTAAATGTACCAGATATATTGAAATCTGCTCCTTCACTTCCAGAAGCTCAGCACGTCAATCTGTCTCCCGTGGCCTGGAACTGGAGGTGCCCGCATATCCACCAAAGCCAGCCATACGCATCATCGTTCGAATAAGCCGTCCAATTGTCCTGAAGCCTCGAACTCCGCCTGTCATTTACAGCAGACGCGGCCCGACTTGCACTACCGCCATTGTCTGAACAGCGCCACATCCATCAGGGCGCTTTGACCCGCCGCTCTGGATACCAGGAGAATCTGGCAGTTTGGGTGACGCTGGCACGAACCTGGCTGGCTCCTTCGGGGCCGGAGCACTCAGCGACTTTAGATATCTCGTCCGTGTTAAGGCCTGGCTACCTGTATTAATGACCCGCATAAAACGCAAGCCGTGGATCTGTAACCCGAACGATGGTCCCCCACGGGCCGGAGACAGGTCCAGTTCCATGTTGCTCCGACTTTACCTGGCTATACGGCGGAGACTTTGGTGCTTACAGTCCTAGAGGCTGGGAGAACGTCCAAAGAAGGGGGGATGATCGTGAATTTTTTTGAGAAAGAAGACTTCCACTACTCTTTGTCTTCCACTGTTGGTGGCCCCAGCTCTCTTCCTGCAGTTGCAACTTGTTGGTACCGCCCAGCTCTAGATCAATTTGCACTTGTCAGCTGCGCGCTCCACCGAAGAACCGACCTGGACCTGGTCGTGATCTGAGCACGAGTCCCGAGGCCCTGATCGCTGTCTTATCTCGTACATACGCACCGCACTGATTCACTGAGGGTCAGTTACATACAGCAACAGCAACGGGGCAGTTCCAGACTGCCAGCTCCTCATCTTGCTGAATGTTCGACAGCGGGCTCTCGGGCGATCCCCGTCTTCTATCTATCTGAGGCTGGTTTCGATCTCTTTGATCCAAAGTCCGCATGTGGGCAAACAGCCTACCCAAATCCACTTAGTCCTCCTGCAGGCTGCAAACACCGACCGTGAAAGTGGTATTAGGTCAAAGTCTCCATCCGCATCCCTGGCTCTGACACCGTTGTTGATGAGAAACCCTGGTCTTTTCGGTACGTACCTACCCGATTGTGCCGTCACTTCGTCAAACGAGAGAAGGGAAGAAAAAGAAAGAGGGAAAAGGCCCAAACGCGGTAAAACAAGATTAGAGAGAGACTTGCTGCCGAGAACCTCAGAGCTCAAGGCCATTACAACGCCTTGATCCTGAAATGTGACTGTGATGTAGTCAGCGATGGGCAGCATGATGTGTCACGTTCTCGTCTGCGCAATTTCATTTGCAGCTCGAGTTCCTCGAGTATACTACGTACATGACAATTTGATCACAATGAAACTTATTTCAACGGTCACGCCCTTCCCGGTAGCCCCGGTAGCATGGACAGATGGACGATATGCCCAAGCCTTGCTAATCGCTCAATACGAAGTACCTCAGCCCATGATAAATGAGGTCTTGGCGCACTGTCCCTCGAAGCTGTGAGCCGTCATTTCTTTGAAAAGGTGATAAGAGGTGGTTCACTTAAACCTTGACAGTCAAGGTCAGCATTTCGTATCTCCCGAACAGACCGTGCGACGAGTTCGTCCTGAGGTGTTTGGAAATCAATATTGACTGCTGCCAGGAGCCCCAAAAAATCCGGTTCGTTTCTCGACGAAGCGCCTTCGTTCGTTCGAGTACCCCCCGTCGTCCTCGGGCGAGTATCCCATGAGTCATCTCTGAGACTCCCACGCTGCGCGGATTCTTGGCCTTTTCGATTGCGGGTGATCTATCACCTGCGGAAGCCTTTGTCAACATCACATTGTGTTGCAATATCGGGATCCCCGGCCAAAGTCCAACTATGCTTCGTGACTCGACGTAGAGCCTTCGCTGGCTCAAGCTTCGGATGTTGACGATATCAAACCAACCCAACAGGCACTAACAGGCACCAACAATATGCCGAGAGGGCATTAGCACTTGCGACCAAACGGCCTACCGTAGGAGCATGAATTCTGTCTCCGCAAGATACCGAACCCGTGCCTTGTCCGCGAGTTTCCACCAGGCTTGGCAACCGTCTTTCCCAGCCAGCCGAGCCGCGCGATCGACACGGGGCGAGACTCGTGGGCTGGGAGGACGGCGCGATGCTATTCCAAGGCAGGACGGTTTGCTATGCTGGTCTAGGAAGGTTCAACGACGGGGCTACGGCATCATTGCTAGCCACGGACGCTCCGTGGTGGGGGTGGTCGAGTCCACGAGCTGGCCCTGGGCAAAAGATCTAGACTCATGTTTCGAAACAATGAACCTGAGCAACCGGCTCTTTGCATCATCGAGTCATTCTCGGAGACGAGGAATTGTTCTATTGTTTTTCTTCGGGCAAAGCCGTTTTGATTCCACTTACCGACGACACTAGCGGGTATTGGTAGGGGATTTCATCTGTAGCGGCACGAGTCTGATCAAACTTCTGGTTGAAAGGCCTCTAGTTGACGAAGCTTTCGAAGCTCGTGGAGCTTGATGAGGCCACTTTGGCCACCTATTTGTGGCACCTCTATTTTCTTTGTCAAGGAAAAGATTCAAAGAAGTCACCCATTACAAGGCCGCCTCTAGGAACTGATTCATCAACAAAAACACCCTCGTCCAGTGTCATACGGAAGTTTGAAATTCATCAGGCGAATCTTCCCAAAAACCAGATCGGTCAACTTTTCCCAGTTTCGGTGCCATTGGACGTACCGTACCCGCCAACCTTTGGCTCGGATCATATTCCATGAAGCAGTAGCCGGAGCTCAAACACGTTGCAGGTATCCTATGGAACACAATGGCTTCTGTCGAATTATTACGAAGCCAGCTTCCAGCGCAATTCCAAAACCAGAATTCCCTCCTCCCATCCCCGGCCATGACGGATCGGATGCGGAGATATTATGGGGCCGTCTTCTGCATACAAATCGGAGCCTTCGGATCTTGCCCCCTCTTTTCCCGGGACCCGAGTCCGAGCATCGAGATCAACAATATTGGACCGCCGCAATTTCGCGCTTGCCAGTCAGCCGGAGCGGTCAAGAGGCCCTTCGGCTATGCAAAGCAAAGTCAAGGCCGACGAGCCCAGCCAAGACTTGCGAAGTGCCGCATTCCCATCGGGTGAGGTGGCGAACTGGTCCTCTTTTTTCTTCTTCTTTTCCCACTTACGTTGCAGAAGGAAGCGTTCCTTCCAACAACTGAGGTGGATGGCACACTTCCAGAATGCTGAGTTCCCACGCAAGATGCAGGGGCATCCACACCCGTCCAACATCTGTGGGAGAAAAGCGTGTGTGTGTACGGATGCCTACTCGCCTTCGCAAGGGATGGATGGGACGGGAGGCGAGTGCTCCCTCCCGTCTCTGCACACCTTTGATGTTATGTCTCTCCTGAAAGACTAGCCCGTGACGTTGGGAGCGCATTCGCGCCTAAGGATTATGACGATTTGTCGCAGACTTACAGAATGACGAATTCGAAGAGGATTGCAAAACATGACAGCAGAACACGAAAGCCAAAACAATGCCTTTTGCTCCCGCGTCATCCGACCTTTCGTCAGTTCCTTCCAGCATCTAAAGCTTCTCATACTGGCGAAAAAGGTGCCGCAGGTGTTCACGTCACTTCTCACTGTCATGCAGAATGCGACGCAAGAGCTCTCAACGTTGAGGTTGTCCCTGCAGGTAGGCGAGACATTGCTTGACATGTGAACGTGGGCACATGTGGCTGGTGCAGGTGGAGACAATTGAGAGAACGCTATCAGGGTACAGGGAACGTTCGCCGCCTCCCCCCCCCCCCTTCATCCAAATTGTCCGATGATTTTCAGGTTTATCTTTGACGGATAGGAGTAGAAAACGGCCGAGTATTGCTTATAGTGGGAAGACGAGAAACGGGTCGTCGCGTCGATGGCCAGTCAGGTGAGAGATGAGACCGACTGAAAGTGGCGGCGGCGCTCATCCTCCTCGACGGACGTCGTCCTCAATGCTTGGCTTCCGAGGTGCCAATTGATTGTTCACCCGGCCAAGCTGGACGAAGACGGCATGGCCGACGATGAGAGCCGCGGCAGCGTGTCTAGGAAAGGATGGCCACAGCCCGAGTTCCGAGAGGCGAATTCCGTCTGACGGGTTTGAGTGATTGAGTACCTAGCTTCTGTGCTCATCAAGAGATAATAGAGGCCATAGCTTCACGGAACAAAATTGGAGATTGGGAAGGGTGACTGGCGCGCTTAGTGGTGTGTCACGGGTCAAGTTAAATCTAATTTCTTGGGAGAGCAGCGACGGCGTCATCCAGCATTACGAAGACAGCCAATGTAGATTCCGTAGGAGAAAACAGCGCCAGGACGAGGAGCTTCACAAGCAACGGAATGCAAGATGGGAGGCGCAGAGAGGCCCCTCCCGGGCCTCCCCCTCCCACGGTCCACCTCACACAAGCTCGAGTGGGCTGAAGACCGGACCGCATAGCATCGCATCCAAGCGTCTGCCACAAGGCTAGCAAGGTCAGGTACCTTGGGCTAGTCGGTACGCGACGGAGGGATTTTTGGATGAGGAGAAAGCAACAAGAGCCCCGAGAGGTGAGGAAGAGTGCAAAGCTTCGTCCTCCAATTTGGCTTGCTGTGTCCCGCTATTTGGGCCTAGGGCGTGGTGGTGCAGGACGAGCGCCAGCCGTTGGCTTGGGATCTCCCCGTGATAAAGTTTGGGGTGATGTGAAGCGATAAGCCGGGGTGGGCGCATGGCCAATTGGGTTGCGGGAGGAACTTGGGGGTCTCTTGCGCCTTCTTGATACTTGAGATGGTATACCTATCCGTACGTCGTGTTCGCGAAGCAGGGGAAAGTAAGGTTAAGGAGACAAGAGTACTGTATCAAGAGGTAGGAAAGGGGAACGAGATAGTTACGGCGGAGATCATCCTCCGAACGAACCACCGCTTCTGCAGAAATGAATGACTGAATAATTAATGCATGACAGCTCGAGGCAGATGTCATTCAAAGCGCCTCATGTCGTCCATGATCCAGCAAGCCGCAACTCACAGACTGGACACGAGTGTAGAGGTGGTGGGTGGAAGTAACCCGTCCGCGAGGACACAGATCAGCGGGTGCTCCGGCAAACTGTCAGATAAGGCACGCATACGTGTTGAGCAGCGACTTGTTGACCGGGCGCTTCTTTCCTCTCCCGTCTCCCTTTCGGTGTGGCAGTTCTCCGTACCTATGGTAGGTAGTCGACTACTCACCTTAGAG